AGAAACTACCACCAAGTACCTCAAAATGATCTTTTTTGTAGGCGTTCTACCTCAAATGGCATACTATTCCACAGTTACATGAGGCCAACTTACCCGCGGAGAGCGGAACAGCAGAACACGCGGGAAGTTGTAATGAGAAAAATGTGTCTGAATCACACGTGAATATTCTGCAGGACTCTAGCTGGCGTGGCTACACGCCTAAACACTGCGTAGCCGCCTAACACCACTGCCTGCAGCCTCACCGAATACCCGGTACGCGGCCTCATAGGCTCCAATGCTTTGTTAGCGTTGGTCATAAACAGAGACTGAGGGCCGGATGGCTCGATAATTCGCGCTCTCGCCGATATCCTGAATATTCACGATATGGAGAGAGCTCTCAATTTCCGATACCGCGATATCAGCCCGAGTACCGATATATGCCAGCGCTTTTTACACGCCAAAACTGTTTGTCGCTATTCGGTGGAATTAACACATTTTGCCTACACCTCCTTAATCTGTCGATGCGCCACTGAGATGCATACATAAAATGCAACTCGCGCTTCCATGTAACACTGTCCTGTGCCAAAATAAGAGAAAATTCAACTTTCCATTCGTATTAACTACTGAAAGGAGTGCTAATGCTTAATCGTAGCTTAAGCGCTAAGCTTTTGGTTGATGGTGTTAATTGTATTTCCATGCACGCCTGAAGGAGTTGCTAATGTAGATTCTAAGGCAATTGTTACGCTTTGGTTTAAGGAACAGCTCATCAGCAGGGTAAAATACTTCTAAGGTGGCATTGCAGCTTATTTTGGTTTAATATAAAGATTCACTCTCAGCTCTTAAAGTCGTTTGCGCTTGCTTAGCCCACGGTTAGCAACCCAACCAAGTCTACGTGTCCAGTTGTTGTTGTTATACGTCATCCCTAGCGCGCCGGCGCCCGGTAAACGTCCCATGCTGCGTTCATGCAGGCTCGGAAATGCTGAAGCCTACAGAACAAACATCGGTTATAAAAACCCGATACCGATAATTCCCGATATTACATTTGTTAGTGAATATCGGCCGATAATATCGGAGGGGGCCGATATTATCGGACATCCCTAAAAAGGACAATAAGTTTGCACGGTTTAAAAGATGTATCATACCATTAACTTCCATCAGACTTTTTCTGACTGAAGCATTTCTCTTTTGTGGAACAGTATACAGACTCCAACAGAGGGGCTGTACTTGGTGCAATATAGCAACTGATGTACATGTGATGTTTATTATAAGATAAGTACTATCAAGACGGCCTGCCATTGGTCAACATGAAATGTATTCATTTCAGAGTTCACCAAAGTTGAACTCCACACAAAAATGTGCTTCCTGGGACCAAATCCACTGAGGCCAGACCTTAAGATAGATTTTATGGACTGACAGCTGTTGGTAGAATCCTCCCAGTTGGCCCTGCTGTGATTTATCTCATACAAAAACAATAATTGCTGAAATTTATTCTATTACAACAATCGGGAAGGATTTTCCATGATATCAAAGGTGGATGATTTCTGATTTTGTTAAGAGGCCGACATCGACCCTCAGTAAAACAATACATCAGTCTAATCCTGGCGCTCGACTGTATTTGCACTCTTTATCTCTGCCCTCCTCTGCAGCCTGGACCAGTTGTCTTCACTGAACAATGCCAAGGGTTGCAAGCTGAGAAATAGTCATTTTTTTAATCCCTCAAAGGGGAATTGCTGCATTCTCTCTCTTGAGGATTAGGGAAAATACTATAAAGAGAGGGAAGAAATATGGGGAAAAAAGCTACATTTTCTCACCTCTCTGTACCACCTATTCCACCTTTCATCCCATATCTAGCTCTCCTTTCCCTTCTCCACCTCCTCTTTCTTTTTCCCTTTTATCCTTCCCCTCCCCTTTTTTTCTTTGTATGCTGCAGCTCATCGTATGAACCCAAAATGCTCTTATGGCGTTTTCACAAAGAGCTCCGATTTCAGCCGCTCTCGAGGAGAATGGCACTCGGTGGCAGTGGTGGTGGTGTAGTGTGGGGATATTTCAAATGCTGCTTTCTCATCCCGCTATCTCGCACCACCTGCCCTCCCCTTCTCCTTTTTTTTTTCTACACAGCCCTCCTCCCTCCAGTCATCCCTCCATGCCACAGCTACTTCGTCACTGGTGTTGTGGTCTGATGTGGGCAGAGGATTGTGGGAAGGGTGGGTGGGGGGTGTTAATCAATATGGCGTCGATACTTTCTGGTGAAATGCTCCTCTGTGACAGGGCAAAGCCAGTGTTGGCAGAGAGCGGCCCAGATCTCTGCTTCTCTTTGGCCAGAACACACTTGTGGTAAAGACACACCAGACAGGGCAAACAGGGACAGCTGCAAACACATGGTCTTATATGGCAGGAGCAAAAAAAAAGAAAAAAAGCACCACCGAAAAGTATCTAATTTTCAGTATTTTTCTGAAAAACGGGTGAATAAATCTGCCTGTAGAGACAAGATAACTCCCTTCGCTTCTGGTGGAGCTTTACGTTCCTGTCACGAAAGTCTTTGAAATAAAAGCCTTGTCATGAAACGCAGGAGAAGGCAGATCACGTCACTTCTATCATACTTGATTCGAGTATGACACTTGAGTGCAGAAAGATTCTTGACGCAAATTGATTTGCATTGGAAACAAGTGGGATTATTTTACCCGTTGACAGATTTCTCCACTTGGTTAAAGAAAAATGAGATTTTCAGGCTCAATACTGGGTTAAATGACTTATATGGATGGGTTCTTGCTACAGTGCTGAGGAGGAGATAGGAGAGACGAAATGGAAAAACAAAGCTGCAGAAGGAGGGAGGGAGGGATTTGTGGGGAGAAATGAAAAGAGAGAGAGGAGATATATAATGGAAAGAAAGCAAGAGAGAGAGAGAGAGAGACAGGTAGAGAGACCTAGAGACAAGACTGGGAGAGAGATAGGCCAGTCACTAACTGCCTTAAAAGGACAGAAAATAGCTTCAGAGAACGACAGAAAGAAAGGAAAACACATGCACGCACGCACACACTCCGCAGGCCATTCACCCTGTGTTTCATTTTGCATGGAGGCATCTCCCTGCACAGACACACAGCTTTTATATCAACATGTGTGTGTGTGTGTGTGTGTGTGTGTGTGTGAGAGAGAGAGTTGCTGTTTGCATGCTGTGTGAGTTTGCAAGACAGAGACAAGGAAGAAGGAATGAAAAACCAGAGTGAGAGAAAACTGGTGGGGGCACAGAGGGCGTGTGTGTTATACCATATTTGTGTACGTGTGTGTGTGTGGTGTAGCTGTGTGTCTGTCTATCTAATCCCTTTTGTTTATATGTGTGTGTGAGTGTGGTGTACTGCTTAGGCTGGCAGTCTGAGGGATTGGAGCTCCGGGCAGTAGCAGCAGAGGGTGTGTGTGAATGTGTGTGTGTCTGAGTTGGGTGGGTTATGGTGGGGCAGAGATGGTGGAAGAGATAATATTTACCCCACACCCACCACCCACCACCCACCACCCCCCAACCTCTCCCACCACACCACCCGCCCGGCAATTACATGAGGCCTTTACAATGAAGGATTGCAGAAAAGAAACAGCAAACTCCCTCTGTATGTATGTGTGTGTGTGTGTGTGTGTGGTGTGTGTGTGTGTGGTGTGTTGTGTGTGTCTTCCTTCTTCTTCTTTTATTTTTTAAAAGTCAGATTTTGACATTTTGAATTTTAGGCTGCTGTTATCCCTCACCAGCCGCTCGGCACATTTATGGAGGGAAAAGAATCACCGCTGGCTCCTAATGAGACATTTTATGTACACAAATTATGTATGGCCCTCGTAGAGCTGCTAATGAGGGGCTGTAAATTTACATACTTTTCTTTTCTAATCACTAACACAGTGCATGTATCTTGATTTCTTTACACTTTTATGTGGATTATATTTCATATTTACGTTCATGTTGTACAAATTTCTCATTCATCTTTTTTTTATTAAAGGTCTTCTCATCCATACATTGTCACTTAATGTTAAAGAAGGCTGCTTCTTCTTGGCAGCAAATTTCATGAAAACGCCAAAACCAACAATATTTGATTTAGTCTCACAATTCATTATACCTTTCTGGCTTGTCTGTGGCACTCAGACCCAAGCCCACTGGTTCTTAGCTAAGTCATTATCTAAATAAGATGGGTGCTGTAGTTTTAAGCAAACGCCACTCAAACAGGACTGAATAGTACATTTTTGAGCACTATTTGGAGCT